CATGTTCTGGCTCTGGCAGTGTTGTTTTGATTTGCTGCACTGTTTATTTTATCTTTTTTATTTTCTTCCCTAATACAGAACTGTTATTCCTGCTCCCATATTTTTGCCTGAGAGCCCCTTAATTTCAAATTTGTAGTAATTAGGAGTGAGGGGGTTTATATTCTCCATTTCAGGGGAGCTCCTGCCTTCCTCAGCAGACACCTGGCTTTCCAAACCAAGACGAGTTCAAAGGTAGGACAGGCTTGCACCTTGGAGGTTCCAGGGACATGGGATTTTGTTTTTAGCAAATCCCATGGGATAGAACATGTTTATCCTATTTATCTTTCTGGTGCTGTTTTGCTGAATGTGAATTTACAGAATTCTCAGGATTATTGCAGAATCAGGATTTGCTCTTTATTAAATACACTCTGTAAATGCATTTTTGCATGTCCTGGAAGAACTCATCCACATCCTGTCCTAAAATAAAAGTCCAAGTTCACATTAAACATTCTTCCCAGAGATGGAAAAATAATTTTATTTATTGACCACAGATTATTTAGTGTGAATTGGGCCCCTTCAGTCTAAATCTACTCCCTGCCACGTTTAAATACCTTGTGATATCTGTGAAGTTGTAAAGAAATCAATAGTGCCCTATTACAAATAAAAAATACCTGCACAGTCTCCATCCCTTTGAACATTTCTGCACCAAAATCACTACAATTAATAGAACAAAGAACACAGTGGATAATATTAAAAATCCAAAATATTTGTTAAATAATAGCACAGGTACTGAGGAAAAATAGCAAACTTAAGTGACCTGCAGTGTAATTAAATATCTTGCTAAATTACAGGCTGACCTCCGCATATTTAATTTCAGCAGCTCAGTTTTGTTTAGTCCTGATTTAACTTGAGAGTTGAAAGGGAACTTTGTATTGGAGAATTGATCTCTGTGATCTTGCAATCAGATCTGGATGTGAGGATAATTGATTTATTCCTCTGCCAGCACGGATATTAGTGCAGGACTAGAGCCTAAACTGCTGGGATGTAACACTCAGAAAATGCAAAGTTATTCTCAATTAAATCTCTTGATAAAGCTCTGCAAGACCAAATTTATTACAGAATTATTGAAAATATAACTTTGGTGATGAAGCTGCAATGTTGAGCAAATATAATACTTTTAGAAAAAATGTGAATATTACATTATAGTACTAATCAAGCAAACCACACAACATTAATTTGCATTTTTGTGGAAATATTTTACATTTTACTGCAAAATCAGGATCCATTTTGCAGTAATTTTAATGTAAGGTGCTTAATTTTGATGTTTGGTGAAGAACACAGAATCAGAAAAGATTTCCAAGCAGTCAGAGTAACTATTCAGATCTCTGACATTACCTGGGAATAACTTTGACAGATTCAACTTCTACAGAAAGATGAGCCCAGTGCTAATCATTTGGTGTTAATTAAAAGAGAATTTGATCTTTATGAGAAATGAGTTTTATGCAGTTTTCTCATGGAGGCAATTGTGCATTTGCAAGAATAAATGCCAATTAATAAATTATTACCAACATAAATTGGTATATTTGGGGAACCTGGATGCATTTATAGTTTTGAACAATATCTGATATTAAACAAAAAACCACAGACACTGATAGCAGGCAAAGCTCCTCCCAGAGAAATCCTTGGAAAAGCTTTTAAGGAGCAGAAGAAGGAACCAGCTGGTCACAAAGCACAGCAAAGCCTCAAAATATTCCTGTAAAGTGAAAAGAGCAGCTCAGCTACTCCAAGGTTACACAGTGGAGCTGGGAGGTTTGAGGGCTGAGATTACTCCCTGTTTTTATCAAGGTTTCCTTCCACCCTCTGTAAAGAGGAGCTGACTGACATGGTTACTTTATTTTATTTTAGAAAACCTGTTTCAGTAGATTCCTGGTGCATGCAATGCCTTGGTTGAATAATAAAAGTAATAACAACAACAGAATGTTTTCCCAATCTAAAATTCTGAACTTTTTAGTAAAAGCTTGTCACAAAATTCTGAACTTTTTGGTCAAATCTTGTTTAAAATTCTGAACTTTTTGGTCAAAGCTTGTCTAAAACTCTGAACTTTTTAGTCAAAGCTTGTTTAAAATTCTGAACTTTTTGGTCAAAGCTTGTCACAAAATTCTGAACTTTTTAGTCAAAGCTTGTGATAAAATTCTGAACTTTTTGGTCAAAGCTTGTTTAAAATTCTGAACATTTTAGTCAAAGCTTGTCACAAAATTCTGAACTTTTTGGTCAAAGCTTGTTTAAAATTCTGAACATTTTGGTGAAAGCTTGTCACAAAATTCTGAACATTTTGGTCAAAGCTTGTTTAAAATTCTGAACATTTTGGTGAAAGCTTGTCACAAAATTCTGAACATTTTGGTCAAAGCTTGTTTAAAATTCTGAACATTTTGGTGAAAGCTTGTAATGAATTTTCAACATTTTAGTCAAAGCTTGTCATACAATTCAGAATTTTTTAGTCAAAGCTTGTCATAAAATTCTGAACTTTTTAGTTAAAGCTCGTCTAAAATTCTGAACTCTTTGGTCAAAGCTTGTCATGATGAAGTTGAAGTTACACCATAACAGAAACTAGAAAACCTCCAGCAGCCTCACAGCTCTAAATTAATTTGCACCAGCATGGCAGGAGCTTGTCTTGAAACAGGGACTGGTTTTGCCTGCTCTGCTTTAGATTCCCTTGCATGGTGAGGCTTTGATTCAGTTTTCTCATTTCCTCATGACCTTTTCCAGGGTAGGGGAAGCTCAGAAATCAAGAAATGCTCATTGTGGAGCTGAGGGCAGTCGATGGCAGAGCAGGATGTGAAGCACGGCCCCTTCCTGCTGTGGAAAGGTTTCACAAAGAGCAGAGGCAGGGAAAGTGAATTCCAGAGCTGAGAGCTCGCTTTGGAGATTCTTTTCTTTCTTTTGAGGTGCCCAGGCGAGTGTTTGGACTTCCTGCACAAGATGAAGCCCCACAAAGAAGCAGTGTGAGGGGCACTGGAGATTTGTTCCTCTCGTGCAGGGCAGGATACGGCAGCAGCACGAGGTTGCAGTTCCTGAAGCTTGAGGTGAAAAATATTAAAATATTTTTAAATTTTTAAATAAAATTTAAAATATTTGGCCTAACAGCTGAAACTGTAATCTGTTTGTGCCACGAGTTGTGGAAATATTATGTGCCATCCCTGGAGGTGTTCAAGGCCAGAGTCACAGGATGCTCAGGGCTGGAAGAGCCCTCCAGGATCACCCCAAACCCTGTCCCCAAGGGTCACATCCAGACTCCTCTGGGACAATTCCAGTGACTCCAAACTTCCCTGGGCAGCTCAGCCCAAGGCCTGACCACTCTGCCAGGGAAAAAACATTTCCTGAACATCCCCTGGCATGACTTAAAACCATTTCCTCTCCTCCTTTCGCTTGAAATGTGAGAGCAGAGCCAATTTGTTCCTTGTTTATCTACAGAGCCAGCTAGAGATACACCTAGGGAAAAATTGTTATTTTAGAATACCCATTGCACTGAATTTCCAAGTGCAGGACAAGACCTTGAGTTCAGAATAATAAAAAAAAGGTTGTGGCTTCCTGCCCAACTTGTTCAGGAAACAAATGTCATGTATCTGTCAAGGTAGGTGTTGCCTACCTTGTAGCCTTGCATTTTGCATATTTTTATAATATTCTCTTTTCACTCACACACCAAATACCTGCTAGGATCAGACTGATCCACACCCTCCTTTCCCAGAGCTGTTGTTGTGATTCCTTTCCTTATAAAATACAGAAAGTGTTTGATAACTTTTGTGCATAGATATATTGGAGGAGTAAAGGATAATTTGCTGTCTGTTGTGTATTCTGGAGGAGCAATTTGTGTTTGCAGCTCACAGGGCAGGTGCAAATCCTACACTTTGATTCCCTGACAGGCTGCTCCTCACTCTGATATCAGTGTTCAGCCCTTTCTCATTTGGTGAATGCAATAAATTTGATTTAAATGCATTTCTGGCTGGAAATAAATAAATCCATTTGTGGCTTTGGTGGCTACCGGAATGGGAACTGGAGACAGGTGCCTTCTCCTGGTCCTGAGTGGGATACAAAAGGGAATACTGTGCCTTTAGGGTACCATAAATCTGGGAGTAAGGTCAGGTAGCAGCGTCAAGTCATCTCTGAGGAAGATGAGATACTTGCCTGTTGTCCATCAGGACACTTTGAGCTTTGGAGAAGCAGAAGATTTATCCTGGGCTCCATCACAACCTGTGGGAGCAGCAGGTGAGGGGGGAATTCTGCTCCTGTGCCCCCTCAGGTGAGAGCCCACCTGCAGAGCTGCCCCAGCCCTGGCCCAGCACAGGAGGAGCTGGAGCTGCTGCAGAGAGCCCAGAGGAGGCTCCAGGATGAGCAGAGGGATGGAGCAGCTCTGCTGGCAGGAAAGGCTGGCACAGCTGGCATTGTTCACCTGCACAGGAGAAGCTTTGGGCTGAGCTCAGGGTGGCCTTGCAGGGCCTGCAGGAGCCCCAGGAAAGCTGGAGAGAGACAATTTCCAGGGCATGCAGGGACAGCACCCAGGGAATGGCTTCCCACTGAAAAATTACAAGTTTAGATCAGACATTAGGAACAATTTCCTCCCTGTGAGGTTGGGGAAGCCCTGGAATAGAATTGCCAGAGCAGCTGTGGCTGCCCCTGGATCCCTGGCAGTGCCCAAGGCCAGGTTGGACACTGGGGCTGGAGCAGCCTGGCACAGTGGAAGGTGTCCCTGCCATGGCAGGGGGCGGAGCTGGACGAGCTTTAAGTCCCTTTTCACCAAAACCCTTCTGCCATTCCCACAGAAGCCGAGTCGCGGCGCCGGCGACGAGACGAGCTCGCCTGCTCCTCCTCCTCTTCCTCCTCCAGAACACGCCTACAATCTACCCGCTGCAAAACAAAACGCCCCGAGCCGCTTTTGACGATTTTGAGCGCTCTTTATTCCTTCCACACCTCCTTTCACCGCGGCACTCCGCGTTCCCCTCAGCGTGAGGGGAAGGCAGCGGCCTCACGGCCGAGCGCTGAGGGGAGGAGGGCGGAGACGCAAAAGGGGCGGGGCGCCGCGCGCGCCAGCCCCGGCCAGCCAATCAGCGCTGGGACCGCCGCCCGCCCTCCCTGACGCACGGCGCTGCCATTGGCCGCGGCGAGCGCTGGGGGCGGGGGCGGCGGGCGTGACCGCGCGCCCGCCATGCTGATCACGCTGTGCTACCTGTACCTGTGGGCGCGCTGGGGGCCGCGCTCGGCCGCGCTCGTCCGCAGCACCGTGCGGAGGCTGCACCGCTCCCGCTGCTCCTTCACCTTCTGCGCCCGCCAGCCGCACCCCGAGGAGCGCGTCTGCCTCCGCGTCGGCGGCAAGGTGTTCTGCACCGGCGAGGCGCAGGTAGAGCGGCGGCGGCGCGCGGGGATGCGGCGGTTGCCGTGGTAACGGGGACGAGCATGGCGGCCCCGCGGAGCCACGGGGATGGATGGGGCTGCGGGTTGGTTGTGGGGGTTGGTGGCGGGCAGGGGTTTGGGGTTTGGGGATTCCCACTGTCGCAGGCAGGGGGAGGAGGAGGAGGAGGAGGGGACAGCGAGGTGGTCGCTGTGGTGGGAAATGTTAGTTCAGGGGTGGTTTCCTCTCCTCGCTGCTTGCCGGAGCTTGCTGGAGTAGGAGATGGGCTGAGGGATGCTCTGTGTGCTACAAATGTCTATTTTTATGTGCGGCGGTTGCCGTGGTAACGGGGACGAGCATGGCGGCCCCGCGGAGCCACGGGGATGGATGGGGCTGCGGGTTGGTTGTGGGGGTTGGTGGCGGGCAGGGGTTTGGGGTTTGGGGATTCCCACTGTCGCAGGCAGGGGGAGGAGGAGGAGGAGGAGGGGACAGCGAGGTGGTCGCTGTGGTGGGAAATGTTAGTTCAGGGGTGGTTTGCTCTCCTCGCTGCTTGCCGGAGCTTGCTGGAGTAGGAGATGGGCTGAGGGATGCTCTGTGTGCTACAAATGTCTATTTGTACGTCTATCTATCTATCTATGTATTTATATGTATCAAGTGCAGCTTTGTAGGGGCAGCAGTGTTTCTAGGAAAGCTTGTCTGGCAGAGCTTGAAAGAATTTAATAAATTCACAGAATGGTTTGGGTTGGAAGGGACCTTAAAGACCACCCTGTTCCAGCCCCCTGCTGTGGGCTCCATGCCCCGTCCAGCCTGACCTTGGGCACTTCCAACTTGTCTGGGCACCCAGTGCCAGGGCCACCCCTCCCTCCCAGGGAAGATTTCCTTCCTAATATCCCATCCAAACCTGCTCACTTTCAGTTTAAGGACATTCCCCCTTGTCCTGTCCCTGGGAAAAGCCTCTTTCCATTCTAGCAACATACTTGGAGAACATATAAGGATTTAGTCTAAAAATATGAGCTGTGTTTGTGCCTTCAAGATTCGTGTCAGGGCTTTAAAACGCTGCTGGATCTGCCCTGGAATGTGAACTGTGGAGAGAGCTGGCTGCTTCTCCCCGTGCAAAATGTTGTCCTAAGTGAGGAAAATGAGGTGAAAAATGAAAATCACAAATGAACAGGGCCGGGGGAGGCTGTGGCAGCCCCTGAGAATGGAAAAACCTTGTGCCTGAGCCACTTCCACCTGGCACTGCTGGAAGCAAAACTGAAAGCGAGCTTGCTTGACTTTCAGGATTCGACCTGGCACTGCCCCCAGCTAGTCTGAATTATTTAAATGAATGATGGATTGCTCTGAATTTGGCACTAAATGCCAGAATTGGTCTGGGTGAGGCTCTTCTTGATCTGTGTTTTTGCTGATGTTGATGTGTGAGTGGTTGGGAATTATTTCGGTTCAGGGATTTATGGAGCGTGTCAGGGGCTAAGTGCTCTTCAGGAAGCAGAGGAGCTTTTCATGAATTCACTGGGTGAAGAGAACTTTTGCAGTGAGGGAAAACAAGATTAGAAATGCTGATGGAGTTGGTTCTATTTAAAACTAGGGGTTTTTTGCTATTTAATGAACAGATTATTTCACGCTCAGGAGCGATGGTGGTGATCTCAGAATCTTTCACAGCCAAGTGAAATACCTTAATTCACATTCCAATAAAGCCCTCAAAAACAAACCAAAGCTCTGTTTGGAGGAGCTCTGTCTCAGTTGCCCTGGATTATTGTTCTGTGAAGAGGATTTCAGCTGATTTCTGCTCTTTGTTCCACTCCTGCTCATTTCTGAAAGAGCTTTTCCTCAGTCCTTGCACTGCCAGCACATTTTTTTCTGTCTGCAGTGCTGTTCATGCAGACTGATTTTATAATCTGCTCAGTTTATTGGGAGCTGGGAAGCCCTCTGGGGAATTGCAGCTTGGCATGAAGTCTGGCATGGACTCAGGGCTGTTATTCAATATGTTTTTGTCCCTTTAAAATACGTGGTGACAGCGTTTGAGAATCCCTGGGGCAGGTCCTGTTGTGCTGCACCTCAGTGTGAGAGCTCTGGCTCTGCATCACTGGGGAGCTCTTTACATCATCTCTGAAGAGATAAAAGGTTAATTCAGATTTTTTTTTTTGGCTTCTGGGCAGCCAGCAAAGCTCCTTTGCTCTCTCAGTAGCTTGGACTGGGATCAGTAGCTTAAGACACTAGCAAGTCATAAATCATAACCTGTAAAGGCTTTTTTTTGGTTTGATCTTTAGCCAGATGGGATGTTTAAGGTACTCTAAACTTCCTGAGCTCAGTTCACTTTCCTGTGGGAGAAATCAGTGTTTGTTTGTGCAGCTTCTGTGCTCCCAAGGGTGGCTGGGTCAGCGAGCTGCCCCCTCGATGTTCCTGGTTTCATTTGAGGTGTGCAGGGATGAACACGTTTGGTGTTAGAATTCAGGGCCACAGGGGAATTCTCTCCTGCTTCCACATGGAATTACTGAGGGGGTGTGCTCATGGTGTGGCAGAAGGAAAAAGTGGGAAATAGATAAGAGGATTTTTAGGAAGTTGACAGACAAGGCTACCAAGATAAGTTCTTTGAGCTTTATTACATCAATCTCATTACATAATTAAGGCAATTAAAAGATAACAACTCACATCTTACTAACAACAGCCAAAAGTTTCTTTGTTATAGAATATTTGAAAAACTTTTACACCAATAACATATTACCAAAACTTACAGATAATTATTCTAGTTCATCAGTAAAACCACACCTCTTTCAAACAATATATTCTATTAACAATACACAATTATTAAACTTAAAACCTCCTATCTTACTAAACATCTTTTTCTACAGTATTAAAATCTATCTTAACCAAACCTAAAACTCAAAGTATTGTTTCATGTCCTTGCTTACTGCACTATTGTAACTTTTCTACTTTCAGACTTTCCACCACAGCTAGCTCTAAGTTCTGTACACTTTCTGTTTCTAAAGCCTACTTTTATAACTTTTTAAAAGTCTTCTTACCTTTACTATTTCCCACAGCAAAACAAATGTTTCCAGTGTTTGCCATTTTTTAAATATGGCAGACAAATGAAGTTCAATGCAAAATCGATGTAAAAATTAAAAATGGATGTAATATTTTCCTGAGAAGCTGTGAGGTGTTTTTTGGTCTGCTGATTCCAGGTTTTCAGCTTTATTTGTTCCTTGCTGAGGGCAAGAGAGGGAATCTTTTGTCATTTAATGAAGAAAACTTTTGTGCAATGATCATCTGAGTGGTGGATAGAACAACTTCCAGAAAAATTGATTCTGACTGAATTATTTCTTTATGTTTTATGAGCTTCATAGTGAATGAGGAGTTTTGATGCAGAGAAATAAGAATTCAGTGTTCAGTTGAATGGGAGAGGAGGATCAGGTGAGTGAGGGATGCTGCCAGTGGCAGATGTCCCACAAGAGTCCCAGTGCCAGGGGCTCTGGGGTTTTGTGTTCCACCCTCTCTCCTGTAAAGCTGAAAGCTGGAGTTTGAGGTGGCTTAAAAACGTGGCTTGCCACTTTCAGTTTTACTTTCAGTGTTCCTTTGTAGTGGTTCAGAATTTTATCCCTTTCTTTGTCTCGTGGGGAAAGTGAAATAATCATCACCCTTCCTGTAAGGCTGGAGGGTCAGATTTGGATTTAAGCTGGGCATAATTTAAAAAGGAGTTATTAAATCAGCTGCTTCCTGTACAGACTTATTCTCCTTTCCATTTCTTTCAGTTCCTTGATGACTTAAACAGGTGGAGTGGGCTTCTTGTTTCTCCCTTTATTCACCCTGAGAAGCTGCTGCCAGCAGAGCACATTGCTTTTGTGACAGAAAGCATTTCTGCTCACACAGAGAACTTGCAGAAAGGACCTGACTCTTCAAAGGAGGTGAGAAACTCTCTTTGTTTCTTGCACAGAAAGGGGTACAGCTATTCAATATTCTTGCAGAGAAAGGGGCACAGCTATTCAATATTCTTGCACAGAAAGGGGTACAGCTATTCAATATTCTTGCAGAGAAAGGGGCACAGCTATTCAATATTCTTGCATAGAAAGGGGTACAAATATTCAATATTCTTGCATAGAAAGAGGCACAGATATTCAATATTCTTGCACAGAAATGGGCACAGATGGGCAGTGATGTTATGGGGTATAAAAAGGGAATTGCTTCATTCAGATCCCTGGTAATAATTAAGCTCTATTTTGTGTTTCTAACAGACCCAGAGACATTTTGTTGAGATTTTTCAGTAGCATTTTTCTCTGGCCGTGGGTGGGAATTGCCCCCCTGCTCTGGAGCCAGGCTGGCAGAAGTTGGGATTGTTCAGCCTGGAGAAGAAAAAGCTCCAGGGAGAGCTCAGAGCCTAAAGGGGCTCCAGGAGAACAACTCTGGACAAGGAATGGAGTAACAGGACACAGGGAATGTTGGGATTGTTCAGCCTGGAGAAGAAAAAGCTCCAGGGAGAGCTCAGAGCCTAAAGGGGCTCCAGGAGAACAACTCTGGACAAGGAATGGAGTGACAGGACACAGGGAGTGGGGGAAAGGGGAGATTGGGTGGGATATTGGGAAGGAATTCCTGGCTGGGAGGGTGGGCAGGGCTGGGATGGAATTGCCAGAGCAGCTGGGGCTGCCCCTGGATCCCTGGCAGTGCCCAAGGCCAGGTTGGACACTGGGGCTGGAGCAGCCTGGCACAGTGGAACATCCTTCTGCTTTTTGTTAAGCCCCCTTTGGGCCCTGGAAGGCTGTGGGAGGGGAGGGATGGATCTCAGTGCCTCCAGGGAAGAGGGGGAAGGGAAGATGTCCATGTCAGGATGGCTCTGTGCAGGTTGTAACATCTGGGCTGCTCCTGGCACCCCAGAGCTCTCCATGAGCCAGGCTCTGCTCCAGGCTGGGATCACCCCTGGGGCCGTGGATAAGTGTGGGAAATGGAGTGCTTAATTTTAATTTGAACCCCAAAGTCAGCATTTCTTATCTCAAAGTCTGAATACAGATGTGTACTGTGTGAACCTTCTGTCAAACTTCAAGAATTCTCCACAAATCCATTTCCCACAGCTGAGGTGCTGTCCTGGGTGTCCCTAAAGGGCCACCTGTCACCCTTATTTCCTGGAATCAGGTTTCAGGCTCCTCCTTGGGGTTCCAGACAATCATGGCCTGGCTGCTCCCTTTGTGAGGATCTGTGTAAAAGATTTTTTTAGTCTTCAAGTTGTTTATTTTTTATCTTATCAGAAGTTCTACACACTAAGCTAGTCTTAGCACACAAAGCAAAGGCAGCAAAAAAAGTCACAAAATGTACACTTCCAAGGTCTTTTAAAGCTATTTGATCTAATTAACTCTTAAAATGTCCTTTATTTCTCCTTTTCTACCAATAACTAATTATTTGTGTGCCACACAACATCTGTATTGCAACTCTCCCTAACTAATCACTCTATACCACCAACAGGTAGAAAATAGATGAAGAAAAAGATCAAACAACACCCAAAATCCTCTATTTTTATTTTCTTCATAATAAAACCCCAAAACTGTAAATTTTTCACCCTGTGATATACTATGCTACTATCTATTTTACACACTCATAAATTCTAATTAATTCCAAAGTCTTCAAAACCCTCTCCATAACCAAAAGCCAAAACCAGTGGTTTCCTAAGAATCAAGACTTGTTAAAACAAACTAAGAAATATTCCCTATACCCAAAATTCCAGCAAGGATCCAGTGTCTTCCAGGTCACCTTTCCCAGGAGATGATCCTGCTGGGGGGAGCAGAGGATAAATAGATTTATTTGAGGGCAGGGCAGGAGGAGAGCTTGGGAATGGGCTCAGCTCCAGTTTTGGGGCTGCAATGAGAATTTGGGAGCCTTCACCCCCTGCCAGGTGCAGAGCAGAGCCTGGATTTGGAGCCTGTGGGTCAGGAGGGATGTCCTGAAGTGCTGCCTCACTGGAAATCCTGGCCTTCATGGAGCTCCATGAAGCTTGGTGGGACCTTTTCTGCTCAAATCTCCTGGTCCTGATTGCACTGGGCACAGGTTTTCTTGGGAAAACCTGCATCAGCTGCTTTGGAAATGGTTTTATTGCCTTTGGCAGGTGGAATCCATCCAGGTGGGCTCTGCTTCTGGAGATGAATGAGCTGTGCCCTCCCTCTTGTACACCTGGGCCAGCTCACATGGAAGATTTTTATTTTTCTTTTGCTTTTTGTAGCAGAAAGATCCTCAAAAACGTCTGCATTGAAGCTCTAACTATCCATTCTTTTGGGGTTTATTGTTTTTTTTTTTAAATATTCTTGGGTTTACTTTTTTTTTCCTTGGGATGGAAAATTTTGCACTCTTATGTGGACATTGCTAATTAATTTGATTTAGAAACCTCAGAAGTGATAGTCCAGGCAAAAAATCAAAACTAAAGAGGAAAGGAGCTGCTGGTTTATTTTGTTTATTGTTCTTCTGTGTGAACACAGCAAAGTGCTCTTAATTTTGGTCCCTCTGGCTGTCACCATAGCCAGGGGCTGTGGGAACACATTGCTCCTGGGGGAATTTCTGGCCAGAAAAGCCATTTTTTGTAGGACTGTCAGTATCTGTGGCTGGTGAAAATGAGGGGGACTCAGAAAACAGGAGTATGAAAAATGTCTCATCTCTTGCTAAGAGCTTTCATCCTTTATTCTGACAGAATTTTGATTTGGAATTGATACCCAGATTTGGATTTGGATAGCAGGAAAGCTGGAAAAAAATATTCCCTGAGGGTTTTTGCTCTGCTCTGAGCCAATGGATTGCTGCCTCATTTCAGGGTCATAGGTTTTGGCAAGAGCTTTACTTTGTGAGTTGCTTCTGTGGGTTCACTTTATTTGCACTGTGCAGCAATAATTACATTTTTACATCTGAGACTTTACTTGGTGCCACAGAAGAGAGATCAAGAGCATCAACAGACCTTCCTCACAGCTTCCAGGTGTGGGTGTTACTTGTGCCTGTTCTTTGGAAAACAAAGGATATTTAAATACTCTGTGAGCCCCTCACCCTCCACCACCAGCAGTGCCATTGAAGCTGGGTGTGCTCTGGTGTCACAGAGCTGGGCTTTCACACCCGAGCTCAAGGTGGTAAAACCCCACACTCTGCTCCCCTTCTCCTCTTGGAAAGGGAATTTTTCACTAAGGGTTAGCAGAAATCATGGATCAGGAGATACCCAGCCAGGTTTCTTGTTAGATATCCAAAGGTCAGAAATACAAATATGGATTGAGAGCCCACCTGAGAACTGTCCCAGCCCAGGGAGGAGCTGGAGCTGCTGCAGAGAGCCCAGAGGAGGCTCCAGGATGAGCAGAGGGATGGAGCAGCTCTGCTGGCAGGAAAGGCTGGCACAGCTGGCATTGTTCACCTGCACAGGAGAAGCTTTGGGCTGAGCTCAGGGTGGCCTTGCAGGGCCTGCAGGAGCCCCAGGAAAGCTGGAGAGAGACAATTTCCAGGGCAGGCAGGGACAGCACACAGGGAATGGCTCCCACTGCCAGAGGGCAGGGATGGGTGGGAGATTGGGAACTGGGAATTGCTGGCTGGGATGGAATTGCCAGAGCAGCTGTGGCTGCCCCTGGATCCCTGGCAGTGCCCAAGGCCAGGTTGGACACTGGGGCTGGAGCAGCCTGGCACAGTGGGAGGTGTCCCTGCCATGGCAGGGTTTGGGAATGGGATGATCTTTAAGGTTCCTTCAACTGAAACCTTTCTGGGATTCTGTGACTGAATGGTCTCGTTTGGGTTTGTTGATTACTAACCAGAAATTGTCTCTGAGAATGACTTAGAAAGGAGACAGAGCCATTGGGGTTGTTTGGTCTTTCCTCTTGTTCCCTTGGGAAACGCCACAAAATCAAAAGCTGCAGCTGAATTCTCTTGGGTGGTGTGTAAATCATTTTATTGCAGTAAATAAAAAGGTAAATTTAGCTGATGGTCTAATTATGAACAAGTAGGGTAACTGACAGCTCACCCTCAGTTTGTGCATCCAAAATAAGTTTTTCCTTCCTTCAGTCAGTGTTTTATATCTGGGGTGTGGGGGTGAAAAGCTGAACCTCATGGAAAAGGTGTCCCAGTGCTGCAACTGCCCTGAGGGAGTTGAACTTTGTCTCCCCATGTTTTGGAACGTGGCAAAGGCTGAGGTTTTTTTAGGTCATGAAGGCAGGTCTCTAAAAATTCCTTCATGGGAGAACAAGTGGTTTGTGTATCCAGTTGTGTCTCCTACTTGTGCAATGTTTCTTTCCTGGAGAAAGGAATTTTTGATGTAGATAAACATCTTGAACCCTCGGGGTCTAGTTAATGCTTCTGATAATTTTTATTTAACCCTTGTAACTTAATTTTGTTCTTTATATCAGCGTTCTTGCTTGGAGTTTGTGCTGAAGGAAACAAATCCAAATAGAATTTTTCTCACAGCTCTGCTGCCATTTTGTTGCTTGGAACTTTTAGAGCCTTGATCTTTGGGAATGATTCCTCTGTACTCCCAATTTGCTCCCAACACTTGCTGTGGATGTTGCTCTCTTCCATCAGAGCTCAATCTTTGCTGCCTAAAGCACCCCCTGCCAGTAAACTCTTCAATTCTCCTGCAGTCCCTCTTGCAAACTCACAATATTGTTGCTACTTGGGGATTTTTTCCATAATTTTCCCGACTGAAAGCCATCCATATGCTCTGTTCTAGATTGTGAAGTGGTCAGACTTTTGTTCACCCTTGGCCTATAAAGCTGGTGAACCTTTTAAGTTAATTGCTGAAGCCAGTGTAGATAATTTCAGTAGCCTTGGAATAGCCTTCCTGGAAGACAGGCTGCAGATGGAGAACGGGATGGTGCCACACAGGATTGTTTGTAAGTACCCTCCTGCTCATTTTTAATAGCACAGCATTCTTGCTTGATGGTTATTTCAGGACTTTGTGCATAGTTTCTATACTTACCTGAACAATTTTGCTCTTTTTTTGGCAATGTTTTCTTCCTGTTGGGATTCCAGGTTGAATCCCTCTGTAGCTCTGCTTTAACTTTGTAGGATTTGGGATGGTTTGGGTTGGAAGGAAGCTTAAAAATGATCCATTTCCAACCCCTGCTGTGGGCTGGGACCCCTTCCACTATCCCAGGGTGCTCCAAACCCCAAATTAGAAAATGTTTTCTTTAAATCTTGTCTGTTAGATTAACAAATCTATTTTAAAAAATCCAAAGCTGGAAGTTTTTAGGCAATTTTTTTTTTCATATTTGAAGTTAAAGTGTATTTAAAGCTGAACATGGATTGAGAACAATTTGGGGTGGGATTTTTTAGCCTTTTTTATGGGGTTTGTTTTTGCTTTGCTGTTCTTTTAATGTAGGTCACAGTGCACAGGCAGAAATGAAGGAATGACAAAATCAACAACATTCAGCTGAAGTGCAAGAGGACAGGAATATTCTCCCAAAAAAATCTGAGGGGAAATTCTGTCTCTCTGGGTGCTGTTCTGCATAAATATTTCCCCAAGGAAGGATGGGAGCTGAGAGTGACCCAGCCAGTCCCTTTTTAAAATCTTTTCTGCCTCCTTCTGCTTCCAGTGCTGTGTGGAAGCTGCTCCAGAAGAGGCTGGGGGAGGCTCTGCATGGAATAACAGAGATGGGAAGCTGTGAAATTCCCTTGGGATATTTAAAAAAAAAAAATAAAATCTTGCTTTATGTTTCTGCTCCAAAGGGGATGTAGTTTCATCATAAGGAAAGGGGCTGAAGTTGGATTAACAAAATTTTGTTCATCAAGTTTCTCCCTGGACTGAAAGCATAATAAATTGATTTGGTTGGGAGGGATTGGAGAAGGATTCAGTAAAATGTTTCAGATTTTGCCTTGAAACTCTCCCTTATGAAGAGTATTTTTCTCTCCTCTTTGCTCTGCGCATTTCTTGCTGGCAGTAATCATCTTTGCTCTTCTCATTTGTATTTGCTCTGAATTTTCTTCACATTTCTGTCATTTTTAGGGGAAAAGGGGAATTTTTAACAGTTCATCTTATTTTCTTGTTTTCTCTTGGATTCTTAGCTCCCAAATCTTGCTGCGGGTGGGTCTCTCTGCCTTTCTGCAGACTGAAATCAGTTCAAATGTCTTCCTACTCCCTTTTCTCATGCCAAACCTTTATCTGCAGCCTTCAGCAGTGCAAGGGACGTGGTTCAATATCTGTCTTACCCAATACCATCACTTTATTAGCTTATTTCAAAACAGTTTATTTCAAAACAGCAGCAATTTTAAACCCTGCCCTCCTTAGAAGAGCAGTATTTTTCCAGAGATATTTCCTTTTCTTCCTTTTGCCTTTAGATTTATGGTATGAGTGCAAATCTGTGTTGTCCTGGGGGGAAGTAGGATTTGTTATGTCAAATAAATGAAATTCTTGCTGTTTCAGGGCATTTGTAATGAAATTGAATTCTGCTGTTAATGATATTTATCCTAACCCTTTAAATCTCCTTATTCTAACCATTTTTGGTATCCTTTACCTTTTGCAGCTGTCCATTTAGAGGAATCTGCTCTGAAGGAGTTGGCACAGGAGGCACCATCCGTGAAGGAGGAAAGCACAGACATGGATGCAGTAACTCCTGCTGGGAAATCAGGATTAGGACGAGCTGAGGGGGACAAATGCAAGCTGGAAGAAGAAAGGGAACACGAGGAAACAGGAGGTGGGGAGCACCACCACTTGCACCTTTCCAGCTGCCAGGAGTGCCTGCAGCTTGAGAGCAGCACCATTGAGTCGGTGAAATTCGCCTCTGCAGAAAACATCCCAGAGCTGCCCGATGATTGCAGCAGCACAGGGGAGGAGAAGGAGCATGAACGCCTGCAAAAAGGAATCAAAAGAATAAATCTGGCTGGGAAACCCCCTAATATCTTGATTTACCTGGGCTCTGAGGCTGCCAAAGGGAGGTTTGAGCAGGTGAGGGCAGTGCTCAGGGAGTGCATCGATGCTGAGAGCTACACCGTGTACCAGCTGCACCAGGAGCAAGTGCTCAGAGACCCCTGGGTGGAGAACTCCCTGCTGCTGCTCATTGCCACAGAGGAGCCCATCCCTGAGGGCATCCACAGGCAATTCATGAAATTTCTGTCCAAAGGGGGGAAGATTCTTGGGCTTTCTTCGTCCTTCACCTTTGGGGGCGTGCAGCTAAAGCGCAAGAACAAGCTGAGGAGGGTGGTGCACGAGCTGGTGGTGTCTAAAAAGGACAGCACGGAGGTGAAGCTGAACCTGCTGGTCAGTGGCTGTGTTTTTGAGGAAGGCATGAAGGGAGATGCCAGCAGAGTGAAGGTGTTGAGTCGATTGAATAATGCTGCTGAAGACACAGTGATTGTGCACCTGACTCACGGGAGCAGTGGAGGAGAAGCCATCCTTTCCCAGGTACTGTGGGCAGGGGGATTCATTTCCTCATGGCTGCATGGTGTGCACTCCTAAAAAATTGTTCCCATTGCCTGTTCTTGGGGGTTCTGTCAAGGGGAGGTGTGGAATCATATTTGTCATATTCCAGAGCAGAGCTTTCCTTTTCTGCCTGCTGGAGGTGGTACTGGAATACAGCTTGAGCAGATTTTGGGAGGTGGGAAATAAATCCCACAAAATCCTTACAAAAATAGCAATTGTGGCAAAGCAAGGAGTGCAGAATAAACCTTGCTGGAAACTTTTTTGTTTCCTGAGTCCTTATTCAGGCTTTAAAGGTTTAAATGTTTAATACTCTGCACCTATCAAACAACTCAGAGAATCTGGGGGGTGGAATTGGGGTAGTCTAGGATGAGCCAAAATCATTAATTCCACTTAAAAATAATGTCCCAGGAAGTAGGTGCCTCTCCAGTATCATGATATTGTGATCTCTGGTTAACAAAAACACCAAAACAGCCAAAGAAAGCCCTCAAAAATGAAAGTTCAAATGTTCATAATATTTTTTTCTTAATTTTACCTTCTGGATAATGGGTGATGAAGCTTCTGTGGGAAGGTAAATGTTGGTCACTGATGATTGAAATGATTTAAATATTCCCAGCTAAAGTTTTGGATGGTGGAAAGGTTGATAAAGAGGTACTATGAAATATAGAGAATAAATCATTGAGAAAAGCAGAGCAAGATTTATTTTATTATTAATAATTAAGGAATATAAAAGATGCACAAACTTATGAAAGATTCTATTTTTTCCAATATTTTAGGTAGGGAACTTTCTTAGGAGCCCAGAGCACTGAAATTTAACTGCTCAGGGATCAGGTGTCAAGACTCTTGTAGCAGTTACAGAAATATTCAGGGGGCTCTGAGAAGTGTTTTTGTCTTTTATCAGCTTAAATCTGCTGGATTTTTGGCAACTCTGTTAGACATTGGAGGATATTTATTGCTTTTTTTGTAGGCAGCTCTGCCACCCAGAAAATGGATTTGATTCTGTCCCTGCAAGTTGTGCTTTTCTGGACCCTTTAAATTGATCCTCCTGCTGTAGTAAAATTTAATACTCCAGAGGTTTTCCCCAGGAAAAAGAAAAGGGCATCAGAGCACAGCTTCAAAAACCAGATTAAAAGGATTAGTGTGACATTTTATAATTCTAAATGACTTCCAGTCTGGATTTGAAAAGCCCTTATTGTTTCCCGGCAGTGACATCAGCCATGAAATGTTCTGGCAGATTTGTTTCCCTTTTTTCTGTACTCCTCTGGTGGGTGGGTGTCCTGCCTCCTGTTAAATCTATTTTTTTTACAATTGTGGAATGGTTTGGGTTGGAAAGGATCTTAAAATTATCTCATTCCACCCCTGCCATGGCAGGGACACCTTCCACTGTCCCACGCTGCTCCAAGCCCCAATATCCAACCTGGTTTTGGACACTTCCAGGGATCCAGGGGCAGCCACACTCATTAATTTCCCTGAATTTCAATGAAAATACGTAAAACACAAAGAACATCATTAAATTTTACAAAATTGAAGAAATTAACAAAAATAAGGGCTATATTTATTAGCAATAAATGAATCTGCAGAGAGTACAAGCGTGGGTTCTTTGGGATTTTTTTTGCCAAGGTCAGGATTAAATGTGTGAGAGGGTATTTCTTGTTGGGACTCAGATGTTTATCAGTTCTTATCTCTGTCACAGTCTCACAAACCCTGAGCTCTGCAGCACTTCACTCCAACAAACTAAAACTGGAGCCCTGTCTCTCTCTCTGCAAGGCCTTTTAAGGATAAACTGTCCAATTAAGAAATGACACCTAAATTATTTTTGCTTACATTTTCACTTTCATTTACAAGATGCGGAGAACTCAAGCAAGTCCCATGAATTTAGTGGAAATCAGTGCAGATAAAGAAAACCTTCTGCCTAAAAAAGTTACTTTCTCACCTGGCAGAAAATCACTCCTCATCACTGCTCATGGAAGCAGATGCTTGAAAATTGAAATTAAATGCAAGAGAAAAAAAAAATCCTTCATAAACCTCCTTTTTGGCTCGTTTTTTTTCTGCTTTTCCAAGATACTTCAAAGCCCTTGTATGTTAGAACCCTGGATACTGAGAATTCCAGACTTTCTGTGCTGCCAGGCACTGACCCCCAGGAGAACACTGCACTGACCTGAGGCCCTGGAGAAGCTTCCAAAATGGAATGGCAGAACTGGGATTGTGGGTGTGCAGTTTGGATAGAAGTGTGTGATATCACAGGCTGGGAAACTCAGAGTTTAAGGGTTTAGAATACAGTAACAGATATAAAGCAGGATGGAGGTTTTAGGGTGGAGGCTGCTCCTTCTTCTTCACCTTCTTCCCCATGGGTTTGGCTGGTTTTGTGTAATGAAATAAAGAAGTCCACATTACAGACCACAAAAAAGAGCTTCTAAAAAGCTCTTTCAATTTTAATATAATTTTAATGGAATTTCAGTTTTAATGTTATTTTAATTGTAATGGAATTCTGCTCCTGTACAAACGAGAAAATGCCAACCTTGCTGTTGGTTCTGGCAGATCTGAAAAGCAGAAAGTTAAATTTAAGTTGGTAAATACAAGTTTGATCAACTCCTCCAGAAAAAGTTTATTAAGAAGGGAAATTTTAGGTAGGTTTCAGAGGAAATTGTGGTGTATTGATGGCTGTGATCCCTGAATTGGAAACTGATTTTCTTTTTTTATATATCCTGCCAGGCCCATTTGGAACTGGACAGCAATTCCATGGATGTGCAAACTGAAGAGGATTTTAATTTGCTCAAAATGAGCAATTCCAAGAGATATGAAGTTCTCAGGGAGATCCTGACCTGCCTTGGGCTGAGCTGTGAACTGAGTGAAATTCCTGAATTAACACCCATTTATCTGCTCTCTCCAGATGAGGTAAGCTGGGGTTTACCCTGCCAGGGAAATTCAGTGTTCTCTTAAAACCTGGTATTTTTGTTTGGAGAATTTTCAACAGGTATTTCAGGTAAGCAGAATTTTTTATTTTTTAATCCATCAGTTTTGGTCCCTGCTAGATGGAGTTCTGAATTTCACCACAGGGGAATTGTGCAGGGTTAATTTTATTATATTTCTGGTAAGAATTTTTTAATGTTGTTCCTTTTCAAGGCTGTAGTGAGCTACAGAAAGAACTGCTTTGAAAACCAGGATTTCTTTTTCTTTTAAGTCAAGATAAAAAGTTCTGCACAGGCTGGCAACAAAAGAGGGAATGGTGAAGAGCAGAGTGGAGTGAGTGGGAAGGGGCTGATGGCACAGGGAAATCAATCCCTGCTTCCTGAGGATGTTGTAATATTTCCTGGGAATATTTGTAATTCAAATGTCAGCTCTCAGTGCTGCTCTCCTCCACGTGAGACACTGCTCTGAACAATTGTGAGCAATGTGTAAAACAGTGATTTTTTGTTTTTCTTTAAAATACAACTTCAAAATCCTGTGTGAATTGAGTCTCCATTTGTGTGGCAATGTGGAAACAAAACTAAAACCCATTTAACCTCTTTGGCTTGTATTAAATGTGCTCCACACACAAGACTTGTTGATTGAATTCTTCCTTTTTTTGTTCTCCTCTTTCACTATTTTTTTCATGATTGTTTCTATCCAATGCCTTTGGACTTCTCAAACATGTTATGAATTAAAATTCAGCTAATTTCTATCCAAACTTGCCATCTAGTGGCATACTCCAGGGTTGCAGACCATCAAGTAAAGATATTTTAACTGTATATTCTTTAGTTAAAGTTTATACCACAGTTTGTTTTTAAATTTTAAATCATAAATTCTATTAATAAATTATTTTATTCCTAAAATTTATTCATTTTATGTGGTTTAATGAGATTTTAATTGTTTTATTCACATATTTTAATGGTAGTTTTGCTGTGCATAGTCATTGTTGTAATGTCTTTCCCTTTAGCCTTGATATAATTCCAGAATTTTGTGTGAAAGGAAATTGCAGCTTGTAGCAACTACAGTTCCTAATGAAGAGAGAGCACATTAAAATAAATAATGAATGTGTTAGAGTTTAACTTTCTCACAAATGATTTCTTTTTCTCCATCCATCCATTATTTGATTTTATGTGGTTTAATGAGATTTTAATTGTTTTATTCACATATTTTAATGGTAGTTTTGCTGTGCATAGTCATTGTTGTAATGTCTTTCCCTTTAGCCTTGATATAATTCCAGAATTTTGTGTGAAAGGAAATTGCAGCTTGTAGCAACTACAGTTCCTAATGAAGAGATAGCACATTAAAATAAATAATGAATGTTAGAGTTTAACTTCCTCACAAATGATTTATTTTTCTCCATCCATCCATTATTTATTTTTCTCCCTAGGCCTCCTTGCTTTCCCAGAGAGCCAGGAGATACCAAAAATGTGAATTATTTGAGGAAATCCTTAATTGTACTGTCAGCAGGTGATTTTGGGATGATTTTCTTAGACTTCCTTGTAATACAAATACCACAATTAGTCAATTAATGAGCAAGCCAGCTCAAGCTCTTGTTAGCAGATGCAAAAATTATTAGAAATATTTTACTATTGCTGAGACTTGGCAGCTCAGGAATGATTCCTCATCCCCAAACTGGAGCTTCCATTGTATTTAAAAACTGCTGGTTCCCCTCACCTGCTCAGATTTTCTAATTAATTTCAGGAGCCCCAAGCTCCTTTTGCTTATGAGGAAAAAATAATAATAATTGGGTTTGCTCTGCATTTTTTACTGCATTAAAAAAATGAAGCTGAGGGTTTTCTGGGGTAATTTTAAAGTTCTTTCAGCTTTAAGTGCTGATTTGGGGAGTTCTTCAATTTGCAGCAGAGCTGTAAATTCTGTGGGATTCCTTTGGAGCCTCTTCCATCTTTTATCAGAACTTTCACCAGGCCTGTTTTCTGCTACCTTTTGGGCATCAAATGAAATTCTAAACTTTATTCTGTGAACAAATAGCTTCTCCTGATTTGCCTTTGCTGAAATTCCTGGGCAATCTGTGTTTTTCTGCATCATTGTTGAGATGCTGTTAATGATCCCATCAAACCCATGCTGCTGATTGATGTAAATGTGATTATTTAGAATTTAAGATGTTCCTCTCCACTCTGTGAGTGTTGCTTGGTGCCTTTTGCAGTGGAATTTGAAGCTATTCCTGAGGGTGGATTGGAATTTTTTTTTTACTTTTCCTCCTCAGAATTCACATTTTGAAGTTTTAATTTCCCAATTCACCACAGTCTTGCTGCATGGATTACAAAAGGCCAACAGAACATGAGCAAAACTGGAATTATTCTATTTTAAATCCAAGTCAAAGCTCTGCTATCTGATTAATGACTGGTCATGTCCATCCTTAAGGATTTTAGATCTTAGCAGGGAGAATTCTGCTACAACAACCACAAAGGCAGCACTGGAATGAAGAACAATTAAAATGCTGGTTAAAATCTTAATTAAATCTACACAATTTGGTGCTGAATGTAATTTTAGAGGCCAGTGTTGATAGCAAACCCCAGAATCTTTGTTTTTTCTCCTTTTCTTGCTGGGCTGCAGAGCAGTTGAGCAAATGGAGAGGGAAATTCTGTGTCCTGTGGGGAGGGGGACTGCAGTGTCTGGCACCCACATGTTCAGTGGCAGCTCCAAGCATAGAGATCTGATTTTTTCTGCAGCTTTGCCCTTAAACTCTCAAATATTTGCTCTTTCAGCCATCTCCAAGGATAATTTTTCAGACATAAATGCCAGGATTGTGTTTTATTGCCAGGAGTTTCAGAGTAGGTTTCAAACCAGGGATTTACCCCTTGAAGAATGAGATTTGTCCCAGTGGTGATTATTCCCTTTAGGAGTTGTTACACCCACACATTTGCTCATCTTAAAACTTGAGTAAAAACTCCTCAGGCTCAAAATTTTTTTTGTGTTTTTGAGTAATTCAGTAGCTGGGGCAGAATCAGCTCAGAGAAGATTTCCATGTCTTGATTCTGGGGTGGCATCGTCTGCTTTTAAATTCCAGGTCCATTATGTCAGCCAAAAAAATGTGGAGTTACTTTATCCTGAATAAATCTTCCTTTGAGGATGGGAAATTTGAACTCTCAGCTAACACTATAATGAACCCTGATTTCAGGGTACATTTGGAGACAATTGTTTCTGAAATATTTCCATGCATATTCATGGGTGTTGTAGGACTTGAGATTCAACTTCAGGGTTTTTTTTTTTAAATTTCCAGTGCTAAAATCAGGGGTAGTTACCCTGAAACTCCATAGTTTTTATTACTACCCAGGGTTTTTTTTTTGTTTATAAGTGAACTAAAAATGTATATTCTCCAAAATGGGAGATTTGCTTGTTTTCTCTTACTCTCAAAGCATGAGCATCATCCCTGCCTTACAGACAGTGGAACAAAAAACAGGAGCTCTTTGGAGTTATTTATTCCAGAAAAGAAATGTGCTCTTTTCTCTGTCTCAGAAGTAAAATAAGAGCTGAGAAAAATATTAAATGACCAACAGACCATGAGAGACTTGAATAAATCACTGAGAAATCATTTATGTCTAACCATTTTTTACTTTTTTAATGTATTATATGTATTATTTGAAATGAGCAAAAACCTTTGAACTTGAAAGCATTTCCAAGTTTGTTTCTTGGCTAAAATGAAAATATCTTTCAAGGCTAAGTAGCTTCAAGGAAAAAAAAAATCAGATGAAGCAATGTCAATGCATTTGTACCAATAAAAATGAGTATTTGCTGAAGCACCTTACTGGTTTTGGGGAATGGATTTAATGTATCTGTAAAACTTCACCTAAGGACTGATAGCTGTGCTATCAATTAAAAATATTTGGAATTTAACTCCATGGATTTAGGGCTTTTTTCCATAATAAATTCAAAGGCATTTGTTGGGCTGCAAGGCTTTGAGTTGCCTGTGTGTGCAGGGAGGGTGGGTTTGTATTTGCTGGTTTGTGTTCTTCCCTCTACCCTCCTCAAATTCACTTTTGTTTCTTTACAACAAAAACTTGCAAACCCAGAAGGGCCACACAAATCATAAAGCTAACTTTTTTTCGGTGTTGGCATTCATGGGAAGTGTCAATGTCTGGATTCTAATCCTAATTCCTGCTGTTTGCTGTGTTGGAGTGTGGTTCTGAAGGGAATTGTTCTCCAAGAATATGGTTTTTGACAGTCTGTGCCTCATTGTTTTCCTCTTTTTGCTTCATTAGCACTCAGAATAATGAAATTATCTAGGGACTGTGTCCAAATTCAGCAGTTCAGAGCTGCTCTAGTCTGTTTTTTGTGTCTCAGTGATATCTCCTCTTGTACCCAAGTGAACATTTCTAACACTTGTCACACAGTCCCATGGTGGAATAAATTCTGTGTATTTTAGCATCTTTAAATTCTTTCTCCCCAGTCTTCCATTAATCTGCATACTTTTATTAATGGACTTTCCTTATGGAACTGTTGGTTCTTGGGTTAAATTTGTAAACTTTTGGGTTCCACTTATTTGGTACAGGTAAAAGCTTAAAAGAAGCTGAGTTTGTGGAGCAGATTTTGCAACAGTCCTGATGCCTCAGGTTTAGCTTTTCTAGTTTTCACATTCTGTGCTGCTTCAGTGTGTGGGTCTGGGCTTCACATTAAGGGATGGTGAGCTCTGTGCACAGAGCAGGGAGACAAAACAATTCCTGCTCCAGCTGGGCACCAAGGACAAATGATCCCAATCTCAGCCCAGGAGCACAAACCCCGTGGGCTGCAGAGAGAAAAACAAGCAGGATGGGACTGCAGGGGCTGTACTTGGTACTTCTGTACCAAGGCAGCCCTGGCAGTGAAAAATGAGGGTCACAGAATCCCAGAATTATCAAGGCTGGAAGAACCCCCCAGGATCATCCAGTGCCATCACCCCAAACCCTGTCCCCAAGGGCCACATCAAGACTCCTCCTGAGCACTCCCAC